ATATATATATATATATATATATATATATATATATATATATATATATATATATATATATATATATATATATACAGTAGCGGGGTAATAATTTTATCCGCTACAAATATCGTGTCTTCGCTATTTCATACTATATAGGAAACGTTACGAGAGTTTTATTCTTTTAAAGGAGATGTGACGATTTTCCAGTACAAGATATTCCGTAAACTATTCGCTTTTCGACAACTTTAATGTGTACTGAAAAGTACATGAATGAAATGAAAAATCCCTTGAGAGGGATACTCGACAATTTAATATCAGTATTTTTATATGTAAAATGATCAGATGATCATTGATTTTGGGAAAACCACGTAATTTATGTGTGTAAAAAAATGAATTTTTAAAAAAATTTAATTTCAAAACATGAGTTTTGAAAAATATCCCACGTACCTCCCCTCACAAATAAATCGTTGTCACTATTTTACGAACTCTCCCTCGAAGCCATAAAACTTTTGTAGGCATTTTCCCTTGAAATGGCGGAGATATTTGAGGTGGGCAGAGCTGTCGCCTCATCCTATATGTATATCCTTCGATAAAGTACGAAATACGAAAAATCCAAAGAGGGTATACACACATATACAGATATTTCATAAAGTTCAGACGTTAAGATTGCACGCAGGATGAGTATATTAAGTTTATTCTCATCACGAATGCCTCGTGTGACGTCGGATATATGCTATATCCGGGAGCAGAATGTAATGAGCACGATAAAGCCGAAGTGGTACAATCCTACGCGTCAAATTGCGCCCTTTGGCAGCGCAGAAAGCAGAGAAAGCGTTACTGGCCGCGACACATGAAACTCGGTTCCTTTGGGAAAGGCATCACGCAAGGCAAAGGTGGACGACGTCGCTCCCGCGTCATCGATTGAGCGACCGACGCCACGATGCAATTTCTCAGATATTAGTGTTTCACTATGGAACGACATCGTGACCTGCTGATTTGCACGGTCGGCATTTCATCGTGTCGGGGCAGCGTGACCGAAATACATTTGGGATTAACGTCTACGCTTCCGACAGAGTTACTGAATGCTCCTTAATTTTGAGCACTTCTGTAGGATGCTCTGTGTTTACATGAATCTTCCTTCGCGCCATGGACATTTGCCGCAATCGTATGACATATATAAAGCTGCATTCAAGTAAATGTTACTTGTTTCAAGTAACATTTATTTCATAAGTTTATACATATCCGCAAATTTATCACAAGTTTTCATCATAAGCATCAAAGAGTGCACCAAATTCTTCGCACCATCAATTTCTCAAAAAGTAATTTTTTTGGAATACAATCAAATATAAGTTAATTTTTCAACCTTTTATTACTTATCAGCTTTTATAGTATCATCGTCAAATTTTTTCTTTTTTTTAATATTAAAAAATAAAAAAATAATGCAAATTTGCCTTTGTTTTCCGCCAAATGTGCGGAATGTGCAAAAATTTAAGACTATTAAGAGCAGTTTATAATGCGATCGTAGTTATGTTTTAAAGTTAAAGTAACACTGGTCTGTAATAAGTCAATTGTGTGTCTATTTCCTTCGTGTGAATTCGTGAAAAATAGTTTACCTATGTTTATCTATAAATAAAGAATAAAACATATACGTCTTTTTGGAGTATTAAGAATCTATGTTGTAATAATTTGGGCTGATAAGCTTGATATGTAATAAGTACAGGATCATTTAGAACCTCAAACATCAAAAAGTTGCGTAAATCGTAAACATAGGTAAATAGTTTCATTGAAAGAAAGAAAGTAAACTAAGTAATCGCTTTTGGCATCAATAGAATGATATTTTTCTGTGGGCAGTATGCGAATAAATATTTATAGAAATGAATTTTCTGATAAATAAAGGGGATCAAACGAGAAACCGAGTAACGTGGCGTGATCTGTTTTTATATTTGATTCGTATGCGAGGTTTATTCCGATAAACGTAGACCGCGGCCTGCGAAGCAACGGCGGAATTTCTTAGGTGGTAGGAATATCAACTCTAATGGAATATACGGTTGTTTTATTCCACGCAAGAAGGGAAACCTATTATCTCTGCAGTGCGTATGTCTAAAAATTTCCTTGAACAACACTGGAAGAAAGAACACTTTCGCACATCTAATGGAATATCTGTATACACGGATAGAATATTATACTTTTTTTTCATGCATTCATAAATTCTTTCCTATTTTACTATGGTTTTAACAGTTCAAGAAGAGACTGTCAGTAAGGACTATCTTACGTAGTAAATTTCGATAGAAACATAGCAGATTTCGCTAGAAACCTAGTAAGCAAGTGTTTTAACAGCACATTTCAATTCCTAAAGTACAAGTAGCACATATAAAATAAAAGGATAGTAGATTACTGCGGAATGTCGTTCTATTTCTTGGTTAACCCTTTTAGTGCCGACTAAAAAAATGTATCTACAGAAAAAACAATTCTGTTGGTGCAACCAAATTTTCGATTGCTCAGAGATCAGACGAAAACTGGGCTGTAAGAACAGAAAAATTTCTTTATGAGGCTTCTGTATAGTCAATTGTTCTCAATTGCCTCAACTGAGTTCTAATATCGTTGAATGTTCAGACGAATATTTTCGGTTGCAACAACAAAAATATTAGTTTTCAAAACAGAGATATTGCTTCTGATTACCTAATTTTCAGTTGGTTCTTATTCGTTTGCACCAACTAAGATTTTTTTACATGTAAGCGTAAAATACTGGGTCAAATTGATGTAGTTTGATAGGGTTTGAGAAAAAAAGTATAAAAGTAAAAATAAGTAAGTAATCCGCGGATCGCGGATAATCCGGCAGCATCGTATATGCAACGATATATCGTTGTTGGCACTTTTCGCAAGTGTTGCTAACAATGATTTATCGTTGTTCGGCACTATAAGGATAAGAAAATCCTATAATAATTCTTACTACAAGATTCCCCCCGTATGTACAGTAGCGGAAGTGTGGAAATGCGCCGTGAGGCAAATGTAATATGCAGGGGTTTGTTGTTTGATTACGGTATCGAATTCGCCGAAGATAAGCAAATATGGACACGCCACCAGTTGCGGGACTGTTGATCTTGGGATCTGTCCGTCATAGGAAACGGTCGCGCGATTATGCGGCGTTTGCGTGGGAATTTGCAGGCGGCATCGCAGTCACGCAATTGATAACTTGGACACTACATCATTTCAAGGAAAGTGATCTCAAGGAGAAATCCGTTTGTACGTGGATGCCTGCTGGAGGGCGGAATACTGCGCGTCAATTCGATGTGTCGAGCTCATTGTTTTGCGTATTCTTTTGACGCCATCTGTCTCGGAGTGTTGCGACTGTGCGTGGTAACGCGCTGCTGATTTTCGCTTGGAAATAGAGCTCTAGACGTGTCCAGACGCTGGACTTCACCTTTTAGATATTTTTAGAGTCCGAAGTGTGTGCGGAGAGAGAATGCTCGTGCTCGCTCTCGTAAGGTTGCTTCTCGTAGATCGATCTTCCCTGCAGCGCGCGGCCCACGTGTTCCTATCTGGAAAATCTCGGCATAACCGATACATCATTTATGATACATAGAACGTTTTCGTTCACCCCGCTATCTCTCTTCCGTTAATTATCACAGGGATTATTGTTGACGATAATTCTCGTCTCTCCTCCCATCTCCTGACTAGAGTTATGATTTGAATATGTCACAAATCTCGCGGTTCCCCTCGTCGTTAGCCCACTCGTGTTTGCGCTCGAGATTATCGCATTGAAAGAAAAAATTCTGCTAATTTAACAGAGCATCGGTAGCCACAACAAATGGTTCACTGATATAAAATAGCAAATAGCTTTCTATAGTGAGAACAGATTTATTACTTTTAATTTGCTGCTCTAAGCAACATTTTTGTAATGGAAACATAACTAATCTAAACAGAAGAGAAAAAAATGTTACTTGTATCTCAGGGAATGTATATGTTTGGTAAAGTGACAAATGATGAGAAATGATCGGCAACGGTAATTGTATTGGATCTGTTTCCTTAACGATCATCAAACATGAAATATGCTTTTGCTCTGATAACCGAAGGATGTTTCTTAGTGTGCACTGAGAGAAAAAGTTTCGCTAACTTAACAGAATACCAGTAACCGCAACAAATGGTTCGCTGATAT